TCTCTCTCTCTCTCTCTCTCTCTCTCTCTCTCTCTCTCTCTCTCTCTCTCTATCTATTCAGTTCATTAACAATAAACAATGCAGGGAAATATGTTCCAGAGTTAGCAGAGCTCATACATGACAAGAACAAGGACCCTTCCATGTGCATCGACCTAAAGGGCTTCATGGTACGCCTTAACATGGCCCACGCATACAGAGAGAGAGAGAGAGAGAGGTTAGCGAGAGAAAGAGTCAGGAAATGCGTGGAGGTTAGAGAGAGAGAGAGAGGGAGGTTACAGAGAGAAAGAGTCAGGAAATGCATGGAGGTTAGAGAGGGAAAGAGAGAGAAAACTTTTGTTCACATTTGTACCTGGTCAGGTGGGTAATCCAGAGACGTCTGATGGGCACGATTGGGAAGGGTTAGTGGACTACGCATGGAGCCACGCAGTGGTTTCAGATGAGACCCATCAAATAATAAAAGACAACTGTGATTTCCATAGCAACGACACATGGAGCAACGAGCGTTGCAACGGTGGCGTGGACGAAGTGTTGAAGCAATATGGGGAAATTGACATTTACAGCCTCTACACTTCACGTTGTATTCCAAACGCTTCTCACTCTCAGGACCGATGCATGTTTTCCATGTCCTCTTCAACTAAGGTAACGTATTTCTTCTCTACTTTACTTTTCACTTCCACCCTCAAAGGGTGCACCTTGTTTAAGGAGTCTATTTTAAATAATCAAAGTAAGCTGCACCTCTAATCCTGAACCCTTTTTTGTGCAAGAAACACCAGCTTGAAAATCTATCTCTACCTCTAATGTGAAATTCATCTTCAAAAATGGTGAGCAAATCTGTAAATAATTAAGAATTTTAAAAAATAAAGATCTAGATAACATGTTATAAGGTGCACTATTTTTAGCACTCGAAATATATATATATAAAAAACGCTGGGGATCATCAATTGGAAGGTTTTTCGCCAATATTTTTGATGATTTTTTTATTTTTTTGAGATGTTTTACAAAATTGATGCTTTTTATGAACGTTTTTTCTTAGGCCGTTCAAAAGAGAAATCTCATCTTTGAGGCCACACTCCTCGTCCTCTCTTTCCCTTTGGAAAAATTACATCCGTACCGTATATAATTACACAAAATATGGTAACATACACTTCTATGGGAATATTATACGCAAGGATGCTGGTACGAGATCTACGACATCGGACCGGTGCCTTTTATGAAAAACACCTCCCGGCCTTTTATTTTTCTACTTTTTTTCCCAGTTTGCCCCATCGTTCGAAACTCACAATATCAAACTTGCAAATTGATTTTTTTTTTATTTTGTTAGGGGATAGACAATCTGATGTAAAAACCTCGAACAGGATATATGCTGTCTAATATTTCAAATTTGGACTGCTTGTTAGCCTTAAATTTAACATAGAACAAGCTGTCCAAGCTTAAAAAAATGGAATGGGAAACAATAGCAATTCTAAACCTCAGATCGATAACTTATAGTTCGGAGGAAAAAAAAAAAAAAAACCTGTCCGCTACTGCTAATATCGAACCAAGGAACAACTTTGGAAAAATTGAATGAAGATGCAGAAAGTATAAAATAAAGTGGTATGGACGTATTATTTCCCTCTCCCTTTCCTATGATATATGTTTTTTTTTTCTTTTTTCCTATGACATTTGTCTTTTTTTTTTATATCGAAGCCGAATAAATCCATTAGGCAAAAGAAGGCATAGAAACAATGGAACTCCTGCCGTCTGATATTACATGTGATGATTGACGTGCGTTATAACTTTTGCACCCATGTTATCATACATGGAAAAACGATATTATGTCATCGTACCATTATAATATAATGAAACCATACTTCTAGAAAACCATATTTACGGTATTTATATGACTCAAAATTTTGCACACACACTCCCTTCATCTCATCAATTAATCTCAAAAATAAAAAGAATAAAAAAACAAAAATTACACCTTATATATGATCAAAATGAGTCCCCTCTAACAATGAATCGAGACCTTCCAGTTAGTAAATTTCAAGATCTAAGCCTTTATGAATTAAAAATTATTTTTTACATTTTACTTTTAACATTGTTAATCTAATGACAATAAAGTTATCTCAAAAACTTGGAAAGAAAAAAGATCTTTCTAAAGCTAAGATCTAAGTACCTCATCAAAATAGACGGCTTATGTTAATTGAGCTAACAAACACTTTCTAGATTGTGTTTTCTAATATTTCTTTTCATTAGAATGAAAAAAGTGTGTATTTCAAAATTTGGATCAAACAAATGGCTTTAATATGGTTTTCGAAGATTGTTTCATTATATCACTATACAACCGTTGTATGAAATCACTCCCCATATGACCTCAAGATATCTTTTAATAGTATTCTACATTTTAATCACCCTATACGATCAAGGTATTTTAGTATTACTTAAGAATTGTAAAGACAGCATCTCTCGAGAGCAGCGTTTTAAAAAACGCCGAGTCGAACTGGACTCGCCCTGTTCGACTCGGAATTCGCGAAAAGGGACCGGATCGGTTGAAAAATCAGAAATCGTCCGGTTCTAGAGAGAACCGGACGATTCCGCACAGTGACTCTCCGATTCACTGTACGGAATCGGCGAGTCCGAATAGTGAATCGGCGAGTCCGTACGGATTTATTTTTTTTTTCTATTTTTTTTTTTTTATTTTTTTTATTTTTTTTTTATTTTTTATTTTTTTGTATTCCATGATAGATTTTTTTGTAATACTTGATCGATTTTTTTGTAATCCATGATCAAATTGTTTTTGTTTTTTGTAATCCATGATCGAATTTTTTGGTTTTTATAACCCATAATAGAATTTTTTGTAATCCATGATCCACATGTTTGTTTTCTTTTCTTGTAATCCATGATCGCTTTTTTTGTTTTTGTAACCCATGATAGAATTTTTTGTAATCCATGATCGAATGTTTTGTAATACATGATCGAAATGTTTGTTTTTTTTTTGTAATCCATGATTGAATTTTTTGTTTTTTGCTTTTTTTGTAACCCATGATAGAGTTTTTTGTAATCCATGATTGAATTTTTTGTAATCCATGATCGAACTGTTTTTTTCTTTTTTTGTAATCCACGATTGAATTTTTTGTTTTTTTTTGTAATCCATGATCGAACTTTATGTAATCCATGATCGAATTTTATGTAATCCATGATTGAATTTTTTGAAAATTTGTGATTTTTTTTTTTAATCCATGATCGAATTTTTTTTGTAATCCATGATAGAATTTTTTGAAAATTTGTGATTTTTTTTTTAATCCATGATCGATTTTTTTGAAAATTGTTTTTTTTTTTTTTAATCCATATTATTCAAAGAGAAAATGAGAGAGATGATGATTCTGAGGCCACCCTATCCCAGCCATATTATTCACATATCGAGTCCCAACAGCAACAGTGTAAGGATGAGCACGAAATACTGTAAATTAAATGCTGAATGGCGGTTCATGCAGGGAAAGAACATATCAATATTCGCATATTCATTCAAAAACATGAAAATTCTTAATGGAGTACCCTCATTTTTTATTGAATTCCTAAAAAACAATATTTATAATGAATTTTAATAATTTTTTCGAATTTTTTTTAAGCTTTATTTTGACCGATTCACCCGATTCCCGATCCGAATCGCCGATTCGTAGATCCGGATCGGTTTTTTGGAAGCCCGATCCGGGTCACCGATCCGTTTTTTAAACCATTGCTCAAGAGGATATCCTTTGGAAAGTAAGCTTTGATCTACATGGCCATTGAAACTCTATTTCATAAAAATCTGACCATCCAATTGGGTTGATAGACGGTGGAGAGAGGTGGACATATCATGTTCTGGTGGGTCTCCCTAACCCTCCCTCTGTTGATCGAGGGTGATGTACTTAAGACATAGATGTTCTTTGGTCACATAGATTTTAAGTTTTTCAATTAACCAATATCCTACTCTAAGCACTACGTGAGATATCAGTACTCGATATGCCAATTATTTCCTAAATAAATTACCTTAGCATCGGCATTCTTGAATGCCGGTATTCTCCAAGTTACCTTGTGAGATATTCGTATATTTGAATATTTGTCTTAGCATTGTTAAATTTCCACAAGATTGTTGTGCTTTCAAACACCAATACTCACTCTAAACATATCAATTTCGATTTTTCAACACCAATATCTTACAAAATAAGTCACTCTATAAGATATCGGTATTTTTGGACAACAAATATCTTACCAAATAAGTCACTCTATAAGATATCGGTACTTTTGGACAAAAAATATCTATGAGTGACCCTTTATGATATGTTCTTGATGTGGACGTTGATAAGTTTTCTAGAAATAAGACAAAGGCAGGGGTGAAATATTGACAATTGAATCTCTTGGGTATATATATATATATATAT